GTATTTTATTTATGCAACAACAAAAACTGTTAGTGTTCTAAGTAATGTATGATAGTTTATCCTTTCATTTCTTAAAACATATTTAAGTAACTTTAAAATTAACGCTAACTTAAAATTAATTGAATAGAAATAAAATTCAAATTAACCTTATGATTAATTGAATAGAAACCTGTCTTTCTTGTGGTAATCTTCTGGAGCCMATGGAGGAGACAGTGGGGTGGGACTGAGGGAAGGATGGAACCAAAGTTCTTAGTTGATGGTTTGATTTATTCCTGAGCTTGTCTCCTCACTCCCAGTGCRAATCTTCTTACTGTATCTCCTATATCCATTCTATATTTTTCGATGCTRATTTGTTTTTCCTTTCACACAAATCATAGAACAGAAATATTTCTAAAATTCATTGTCTTGACTTTCTCCAAATAATCTRTATTTTAAATCAAAACACTGTGTACTCCCACCAAACTAACTCTGGCAAATATTGTTGATGACACTGCTTACCTAAGGTATTTTTCTTCTCTCCCCATTTTCCTTCTATATGCTATGACCAATTTAATCTTCTAAAAGCATGGTGTTTACAATGTAGCTTCTAATTCTATCCACTTTTCCACTCAACCACTCATAAACTCCKATCAAATGTTTTTCTACCCAACTTAACTACCAAATGTAATCTCATTTACCATTTAAAACCCCACTTTTGAAAATAAATCCCATCATTAAMTGGGAACAAGAACTTTTCTCATTTATTGAATTTATACTCTTGCTAGGAATCTTTATAGGTTCTTTATATGTATTACCTTTCTTTAAGCCTTAAAACACCTGGTTAAAAAAAAGTATGAAATTCAGATTTACACATTAGGATATAACAATTTTTGATAATTTACTGTGGTCAGACAGCTAACAATGCAAATAGGATTTAAAACTAGGTACTTCTCACTCTGTTTATGCTGTTGCTCCTGCCTCAGACGTGTGTGTGTGTGTGTGTGTGTGTGTGTGTGTGTGTGTGAGAGAGAGAGAGAGAGAGAGAGAGAGAGAGAGAGAGAGAGAGAGAGAGATGGTGTTGGGAATTGAACTCCAGGCCTTGTGTTTTCAAGGCAAGCACTCTACCAACTAAGCTACATCCCCAGCTCCTGGTTTAGACTTTATGATGATAGCCTAGATTTTTATTTTTTATGGAAGTAAGGACATTTTGCAGACATAAAGAACTAAGAAATTATTATCACATTCAGATATAGGTTAAGGCCAACACATATTTACTGTATTTGTAAATTTCTTCYAGGTTGTATTTAACTTGTGTACATTATAAAATATACATCTGTGCAGATAAATGGTCACTGCCAAATGTATAACAAATATCTAAAAGTGTTGGTAATTCTCTGAAATTAATATTTGATCTGAAATAGCATAATGGCTGCTAAGCAGTGTTATGCAAATTTGGAACTCTGACTATGGTGTCTTATTATGTAAATGCAAAGCCTGCATTATTTTTCATGTAGTGACATATTAGATATCATAAATAATAGTTGGTTTATTAATTTAATGACTCATTTAGTAATCCAATTTCTGGTATTTATTCAATTTAATCAAGCTCCTTATCTCAAACCAACTATCAGGTATACTAAAGAATTTTTAAAAATAGTGTTTGCATGTTTAGTATCAATATAGAAGAACTAAAAAATTCCTTGGAATATATTCAATGTAAATATTTTTCCTTCTTAAGACAGAGGTTATGCTGATCTATATATGTATGGATGTTTCATGCGATTATATGTTACAAATCGCCCGATTTGTACTCAAATCAAGTTGAATTCACATTTCTTTGTACTGCATTCGATTCATTTCTGTTCTATCTGAATGGATCCTTAGTATTACATTCTATGGTTCTTACTTAATCCTGACAAACTAGATAACTTGCCATTCTACAACATGCTGTCTTTAACCACCTTTGCCTTTACTATAACAATCCTTAATCCAGAGTGTTCTTTGTCCATCTACAGTTCAGGGGAGTCTCATCCATTATTCAAATTCTAGCACAATTTCTCCTCTCTTCTTGCAGGTTTTCCGGATCAACCACACAGTGTTATCATGTGTATTGTTTATAACACTTTGTTTCTTTTTTAAAAATTCGATTTACAGATCATAAATTATGATTTATATTTTAATCTTTGCCTATYCTGCATTATCTCTTGTCCTTTTCTTCCTCCCTGTTTCCTCTTCCTCCTCCTGCTTTTTCCCCCATTTCAATTCGAGAATCATGCCTTTTATATATCACAAACCCCAGTAACCAAATGCAGCAAACACTTGAATCAAATTGACAAAAAAATACGTGAGTGAATTTGTTGAATTCAATGAATCTGTCCTTTATGAATGTTCAAAATGAGATAGAACTGTTCAAGATTGCATTCATTATTAGAACACTCAACTCATTATTACAACTAACTAGTCTCAATGGTTAAGTGTTTTATTAGTAATTATTTCATATAATGTTCTTTGGTCTCATAAATATTAGAATATAGGAAAGATCCTTAAACCTCACTGTGATTCTTTAGTTTTCAGGGTCAAATTGTTAGGAGAACCTRTTTAATGTATAAAAACTTCTATGAGAAATAGTAGGACCCAAACTCATCATGCTTTACAATTCCATCATATAGCCTYACACACTCTCCCAATTGAGAACTAAGAAATATACTTATTTAACAAATAAGAAAACTTTAAAGGAAAAACATATGTATACKTTCTCAGAATTGAAAACTTTAACTAGCATTTTGAGCTCATTATATATTTTACTCAGTCTAAACTCCTTTGAGACTCATTGAGTTTCTGCCTCATTCTTGTCACATGAAACATGTTAACACTTTGATAGTGATGGGAGAAGACSAGTTATAGTCATTTAAATTTTCAACTTGCTGCGCTGCTCCTTTTCCTGATGAATTAATGTATCATAGAGATTCCATTTCATATTGGAAGGAGTGTTCCATGTAAAATGGCTTTTTAGGAAGGCAGTTTTTTTTAACGTAATTTTGTTTTTAGACTTTTTTTATTGATTTTTAAAAATGACAACAGAATGCAGTACAATTCTTATTATACATATACTACAATTTTTCATATCTCTGTATATAAAGTATGTGGACACCCAATTCGTGTCTTCATACATATACTTTGGATAATGATGTCTATCATATTCCACCATCCTTGCTAATCCCCTGCCCCCTCCATTTCCCTCCCACCCCTTTTCCCTAACTAGAATTCATCTATTCCTCCCATGCTCCCCCTCCCTACTTCACTATGAGTCAGCCTCCTTATATCAGAGAAAACATTCAGCATTTGTTTTTTTGGGATTGGCTAACTTCGCTTAGCATTATCTTCTCCAACGCCATCCATTTACCTGCAAATGCCATGATTTTATTATCTTTTATTGCTGAGTAAAATTAGGAAGGCATTTTTGGGATCAATGTCCAACATCACCTTGTAGGGCAAGATTATGAAGCATTACTATATGTTTATGACTATGCAATATTTATTA